CCCACTCGTTGGCGGGGTGGGAGGGTTGCATCGGTGGGGAGGCACTGCACTGCACGAAGACCCATGTAAGCGTCGGCCAGGTCCCGAATCGAAGGCTGCTTCCTCAACGAAGGGTGGCATCAGACGAATGAATACCTGTCAGTCGAGACCTGGCAGAGGACTGCATGGCGTGGAGAGCGAGGATGGGGTGAAGGCGGTTTCGTCGATCTTGGCGAGACAAGGCGAGATGTCTTGGTCTTGGGCACGCATCGACCACAGCTTATCCTGGCCAATTTGGAACGGTGCGAAGGCCGTGACGGCGCGGCGCGAAGGCCGTTGGACGGTAGTTGGACGGGACGGGCGGGGAACGTGCGTTGGGCGGGTCCAGGCACAAAACGGAAACAAAACGGACATGGCCATGAGGGATGCGGGGTATCGAGACCCCGCACGTCACGGTCTCGAACGAGCTCAATTCCGAGAGCGAGTAGAGACTACAAGGCGAGAGATGTGCTGCAATAGAGATGCCAGACGCAAGACTTTCTCAGTCTTCAAGATGTTGTGGGTGAATGAACAGTTTACTACCTTGAGTATATCATGGACGACAAGCCAGGCGGCAGCAGTGCTGAGTCGACCGACGGACGTCTTCCATGTCCAATCGGACACTCCTTCGTCGTGCTTACCTACGCTGAACCAACTCCTTCACAACGCGCGCCATATATATACATAGTTCAATTTCAATGCACATGGATACACTATCCTTTCTTTCGCCGCCTAGGTACTCCCCGGCATTGGCTTTCCTCACCGGATGCTTCGTCATGGCCGCCGACGTGCCATTCGTAGAGTTCATGGCGCCACAGGCCCACTGGGATACGTCACCTCGGCCTGAGACGGCACCTACCGAAAGAGGCTCTGCCCCTCGGCCCCTTCGCTCGGCAACCTTCCATGACTTCACTCATGACCTCAACCTGAGCTGCCGATACCACAGCGATCTCCATACATCCCATCAACCTCGAGACCGACACACGCGATACCATCAGATCCGGCCAGCACGATGAACTCGATCGGATCCGTCTGGAAGCCTGACGCCACGGGCCAGTCCCCGAAGCAGGTCCCCTATATCCCCCACCTCAAGCTCAACGATGGCAACGAGATCCCCATGGTAACGCCCCCTCTCTCTCTCGCGTCAAGCCCAAGGCATCAAGGCCACTTTGCTGACAGACCAGCTCGCCTACGGCCTCGGCACGGCCAACTTCAAGAAGGGTGGTGGCTCGTACGACGAGAAGATTGTCGAGATCACGACGGCGGCCATCAAGGCCGGCTACTTCCACCTCGACGGCGCAGCAGGTACGCCGCTCCGTTCCCAACGATTGTCCGTCCGGGCCTTCTGCTGACACGGCAGCCCTACAGTCTACGGCAACGAGGAGGAGCTCGGCGCGGCCATCAAGGCGGCCGGCGTCCCGCGCGAGAAGCTCTACGTGACGACCAAGCTCGCGGGCACGAAGAAGGAGCCGATCCAGCAGGCGTTCGAGACGTCGCTGCGGAAGCTCGGCCTCGACTACGTCGACCTCTACCTCATCCACGCGCCCTTCTTCGCCGACGGCGACGGCGGACCTGCAGGTCGGCC